TCTGCTTGCAAACCATACGATGAAAGCATGAAAGGTTAGCAACTAGTTGCTCAACTGGAAAAAAAAAACTTCCTGGCTTTTTAAGAGCTCCGTGAAGTTAGCGATTTATTCAGCGAATTATTCAGCGACGAGTTCCAATTTCTCTGAAAAGATCTGGAGGTCGATTGGGGCATGTAAACACCAAAAATGACCCTCATTTTGCAATATCACGTAACCTTCAAGGTCAAAAGCTGGGTCAAAGGACGGGGAACTCAATATCACCCAAAAATTGCTGGACGATATTCAAGCTTTAGATGTCAGGATGTTCACCACAGAAGACTGCCGTCCGTCAAAAAGTCCTAAACTCTCAAGGTCATCCTTCAAGGTCAAACGCAGACTCAAAGGCCGGGGAACTCGACATCACCCAAAAATTACTGCCGATTTAAACTTTCAACTGTTAGAATACCCACTACAAGAAGAACTAGCGTCCGTAAAAAATACCGACCTCTTAAAGTCATTCTTGAGGGTCAAACGCAATCTAAAAGGACGGGGAACTCCATATCAGTCAAAAATTACTGGCCGATTTTCAACTTACAAGTGTCAGAATATTTCCCACGGATGGAACAAGCGTCTGTGAAGAAGCTTTGGCTTCTCAAGGTCATTCTTCAAGCTCAAACACGGACATAAAGTGCGGGGAATTCCATATCACCCAAAAATTACCGCTTATTTTAAGCCTGGCACTGTCAGAATATTCATCACCGAAAGATCCAGCGTCCGTGAAAAAGTCCTGATCTCTTAAGGTCATTTTCTCAAGGCCATTCTTCAAGGTCAAACGCGGGCTCAAAGGATGGTGAACTCGATATCACGCAAAACTTACCGGCCGATTTAAACTTTGCAAACATCATAACATTCATCTTTAATATTGGCCTTTGAAGAAATATTGTGATATTGAACTTGAAGGGTGACCTTGAGAGGTCAGGACTTTTTAACGGATGCTGGTTCTTTCCGCGGTAAATATCCTGACATTTGCACCCTGACCCTGTAAGACGTCAGGAGCCGGCCTCAGGAGCCGGCCGGACAGACGTCCCTGCGGAGGCGGGGGGCGAGCGTGAGCTCGGTACTCGCTGTGATATGGAAGCCGAAGTCGGCTTTCCAGGCCGTCGGGAGTCGACGGCTGGGTAGTTGTAGGTCAGTTAGCCAGGATGCCGGCCGCGACGTTGTGCTTTGATAAGAGATTCCCTGCTTTCTTGACCGTTGTACTTGACATGTCACCACTGGTTGACTGGCATGGAACTCTCCACGGTTTGGTATCACGTACTGGGTGAAGTGTACTGGCGAAGAGATGCTCGAAACCAATGATCATTTCACGCTTCGTTTAAGAAATACAAAAAAAAACATAATAAATGCTCACCAGCTACACCACAGCAGCCCACATATCTGCATATGAGATATCACAGCGGGCATCGGGCATTGCTCTCTGAGGTGATTTCCAAACAACCGCGCAATGACCCGTGACCGATCGCTGTACGGACAGTGACCCGTGATCGATCACTGCATCGGCATACATGTCAACGATTTTCATTTTGTACGCCACCCGTCCAGGATCTGTGGGGCTCCTTGTGGAGCGTGGGACAGCAGGTAAGTCGGCAATGGTCTGAAACTGCCCCCGCCGCACCAAACACAACCATTAGGCCGAGAAATCAATGCGGATCGGCCCGTCGCTCCAGCCGATCGGCCCGCATCAACAAAGCAGCGTTAGTTGTTGACCGGTTCTGCAGGGGAAAAACAGCATGCGTAGCCCTGCCAGTTGGGGTAAGTTTGCCCCCCCCCCCCTCTCCGTAACGGAAATGACAGAGAGGTCGCCTCATCTTCCGAAATCAGTCATCATCGAGACTAATGGATGCGAGAGCCAGATCGCCGACAAAGCAACATGTGCAAAGAAATGTTTGTCCGACATGTTGTAAGGATGTCCGCCGCTCCGCGCCAAGAGTCCCGCCGCGCCGGCGTCGCCGTCACCCCAGCTGGCATCAGAAGCGCCACGCCACGCGAGAACTAAGCAAGAAGGGGCGGGGGGGGGGGGGGGGCACGCAGAGCGCGCCCGAGGCGCGAGCGGGCGTGACTTGCACCGTCGCTGGCGGCCGAGATCTGGTCCAGGGGCACGTCAGGGCTGAGTCCTGGAAGAAGGTTACGCCGGCCCGGCGACACGTTGGACGGAAAGTGCGCGGAGGCAAAACTATTGAACCATGGAAGGAGACGAAGGCGGGCCGAACAAATTGGAAGAATCATGAAAAATTAAAATATTGTGCAGGGGTGGGGGTCTGTGGAGGGGAGTCTCATAGGGGGTCCTAAGTGAAGAGCTAGCGGGAGGGAGAGGTCTCCGTGGAAGTCAGCGCCAGGGAGTGTACCAAGGCGCCGTCAGCCGTGCCTCGGACAGGACGAAACGGCCCGCCGCTCCTCACCTGGTAACAACACCTGCTCCTCACCTGGTAACAACACCTGACCGCGCGGACAACGTGACGCCGATGACAACAATGCACGGTGTGAGTCCGCAGGCTGTTGTCCCCATTCGTTACCGGACCATTGGACGGCTGGCGCTCAAAAGGCGCCCCTTGACCCTTGTTCTTCCTATGCGTCCGTCACGTTGTTAAGTCGCTGCATACATCGGCCTTGCCCCAACGATTTCACACAGGGGTCTTGCATTGTTTTTAGATTTTTAGAAGAGGACGCGACGCACGCCGCCATGCTCCTGTTATGGAGTGCCAGCGACTGCTTCGGCTATAATAACGCTAGGAGGTCATGGAGCAACCGGGATTCCAACGAGCGCTCCTTACGTGGGAGTGCGACACACCAACCACTTGGCCATCACCGCCCGTCATATCAAAGTGTGATCGTGTGTGTTTGGCTCCACACGTAATAGGCGGGTGTAACAC